AAGTAAAGAGAGGACACCTGAGGAATTTTTGTGTATGCAGCAGATCTTCTGTTTTAGTGAGAAAATAAAAGCCATCATAATAAAAAGGTTATGTTATTTTATTCACACAAAGTAGGACATCTAATTCAGTTAACAATTAAAAATGGTTCTGTGTCCCTTAATAGATAAAGTGTTGGTGCTCATGTGTGCCAATGAATACTTCAGCTGTGTGATTTGAGGTTATTGAATTAAATATAAATAAGCAGGTGTAAATAATAAAGTTAATGATGACATTATTTCATTTATCTGCTTCAGTTTCAGGGTCCTCATATTGCCTGAAAGACAGAGAGAAGGAGAGAAAGGTAGCGTTGTGCATTTCTACTAGAAAGTAAGGCAAAAAATAAGATTGAGCCACAGACGACTGGAAGATGTGGACAATATGGTGTCTGTTAAGTTTGAACTTACAGCCGTCTCAAGAGTTTTAGCCACAATGTGTAAAATATCACAGCAGTAATATTAAAACAACCTAATTTCAGTGTGAAATTGAATCATGGAACTGCTCAAACTGCAAGATTAAAATCTCTGACATGCCTGAAGTCCTTTCAATCATTGAAAAGCTAGATTGTTGATTAAATAAAAATGTCTACCCAGCTTGACACATGAATAGAACAGCTGCTTTTCCTACTTTAATAGGTCAAACTGCTTTGAGTTAAAGTTGTATGTCAAAGTATCTTTCAGAACTTTGAGTGATTGAAAGACTAGAAAGGAGGCTATATAAGTTCAGTCCCTTTAGCATAAAAGCGTTCAGTTACAGTATTTTTGAATTTCTTTGGCCTAATTTTCACAACAGCCTTTAAATGTGCAAAAGTTGAAATGCAAAGAGCCAAACCACAGTGAGCACAACACTAAATCACATTCAGAATACAGCCACTTCATATTCTCAGAGTTCAAATGCTTATCACTAAACATAGATGTCACTCAATCAATTCAACATGTGGCAATAATGCGAATAGTTTAGTTAGTTAATTGCCAAAATGTTGTAATGTATAGAGTTTTAGTTTAGTGTAATGTAAACTGTGATTTGCATCATGGACAACCTATTTAAGGATATTTTTTATTGTAATTTGCATGCTACATTTTGAAGTGTACTGCAAAATGAGCAGTATACCATTTAGAGCTTTTCAAATTGAATTTCTTGTAAAACATATACCTCTGTAAAAAAAAAAAAAAGGGGCCAGTATCACGTGTCTCCCACTCAAGGCTTAAATCAGCACTTGCAGTAAAGATTCATTGATCAGAATCCCAAAGGCCCAATCGAATTCTTCCACTCAGAACCCCCAAACGGCATACCAACAGAGAGCAGCCGGGCTAAAATGGGAATCCCTGGTTTGCGGTTGGATTGTTTAGCTATGCAGGAGGAAGACAACAACAGGAAGAAACCAATATCTTCACAGGTAAACACATCTCAGGGGGAAAAGGAGCTCATTAACTCCCTATTCTTTCCTCTTTCATCCTCTTTTATACGGTTATCTCTCTTCCTTTTAGCCTAGCTCTCTTTTGTTACTCCCTCCCTTACGTTTTTAGACATTTATTTCTCTCTAAATGTGTCTTTCTACGCTGAACTGGAGCGGTGCATGTTGAGGAAACAGCCACAGGGCAGCCAGTCAGGTACATTAATATCCACTCAGCAGACTGCAATGATGGGACACATTCTCCATCAGTGGAAGACGGGTTGCTACCGGCGGCTAAACCACCAGCTAGCTTATTTAGCTCCAACATGACGCCTGTGACTTCAGAAACAAACACTTCACCATGAATTAAAGCCTAAAGCCATGCCTCTCTGTCTCGCCACCACCCGCAGTTAATTACATGGAGCCGATTACATTTACATTTATATTAGAGGCTTAATTGATTGGAACGACAGTCAGTGTTCTAATGAGCTGGGTAATGACACACCCGGATTCGTTTCCTTGTCTAATTTTTTGTCTTAATTCACCAAATCAGTTTTATCCCGAGTAGGAAATCTGTTAGAGGCATGTATCTGCCCAGCCATCTGTTTCGTCTCGCCGACCCACACGAATCTAACAAAACTCGAGGATGATGATACATTTCATTACTGCAGTCCAACTTATTGGTGTTAATTTGTGTTGATAACTAATGACGCCTTCTGTTTCCAGATTCTCAATTGTGAAGATTTTTTTTTGCTTTTCTTCTGTCTTATGTGATAATAAACTGAATATCTTTGGGTTCTAGACTGCTGGTTGGACCAAAAAGCAAAAAACATTTCATGGAGCAAATTATTAATAGAGAAATCCTCAGCAGATCAGTTGCAGCCTTATCAATTTATATCATTAATCTGTGGTCACATGTTTTGAAAGCGAAGATTTATGATCAAAAATGGTGCTGAATGTTATTGTAGTGTAATGTTATACTGATGTTATTGTAGAAATGTACTGATGAATTGGCAATTATGCTATATATTGATTTATGAGATCACACTGTGACTTGTACAATGTATTTATAGCCATTTGGGAACAATATATTTATGATTTAATGTTTGAAAACACTAAGATTTGTGATGTTTCATGTTTGCTCCTAAATTGACTTGTTTATTTCGAGCTGTTGGATGTTGCCATATTATAGGTGGTTTGTAAATGTGAATCATAGCAGCAGTCGGAGTGAATTTTGGCCATCTTTAGTCGCTGAAGGTTTAACTGACTGTCACTACTTGAATCAGGTTTTCCTGATTGTTAACATCTATCAACAACACACATTTGCACTGTGTATAAGGGGCTTCTGTCCACGTGTCCCACTCTGAAGCACATGCTCAATGCAACATTATTTCCTCACTTTTTTTCCTTTCACACAACTAAATATGTTTGATAAAATTTGTAAATATGGACCTCACAGCTCTGCTACTATTACTATCTCTATTAAAACTAAATAAAAACAAAATACACTGATTGGCTCAAGGAAGAGACAATAATTTAAAGTCCAAACAGGTTTCCATATTTGCTACTGTTGGACCCAGGAGGACTGCGCCACTTGTGAGGGACAACTTGTTTGCTGATGTATAATTTGCATTTATAAATGCCATGTTCCCAAACAGTAACACCAGAGGGTGTATATTTGGTGAAAGCACTAGTGAGAAAACTCTTTCACAATGTGCATTTGTCCATGTGCAGGCAGGACCACAGTGTTTTGTCAAGTGCTCTCTGGTCTGATGCACTCTGCTCTGCAGTTGTTATGAGGACATCATTTGAACAGCAGGTTTTCCCAGTGTATTCTAATGGGAACAACTTATTGCTTATATAACACATCCCACAACCGTCCTGTAAAGATAGAAGGGGGAAAAAAAGCCGCAAGAGCAAATGGTGAGCCCTCTATGATGAAATATAACGATATAATGAGCTAAGCTGTGCAGCCATTGATGTTGTGAAGCTGTAAGGGAACCAATGAGCTAACCCGTGATATTTACAGGGCAAAAAATTGTCAACCCCCTGCTAGTTGCCTCTGAGGTGTATGAATTTATTTACACAATTATCATTTATGCTTCATCACCTTCTCATCTTGAACTTGATGTAATTTGACAGCTACGTATACAGCTGCCTTTTGTTCTGGGTGTTACTTCTACAACGTGGTTAAGAATACCATGATACAGCATCATTCATCAGTTCATAAACAACATCTGTATAGTCACACTGCAGCTGTGTAGTGCTGGTGGGCTGAATACAAACGGACTGAAGTGAAGGGTTCAACGGGTGAATGAAGGCGAGAGAGAGCGCGAGGAGATCGAGAGCCGCAGGGATCACAAATAAGCCTCGTCGGGAAAAGGGGAGGGGAGGAAAAGAGCGCACACACAGGAGACCGATCTGTGCACATGCCTGAACGACACCAGACATCAGCTGATCTGCCCTGCCACTCGGTATCCATGACAACCCTGTCTCCTGGGAAGTTGGCATGACAACAACGGGAGGAGAGAAGCGGCAGCAGAGAGAGGAGAGAGGGAAAAGACAGCACTAGATATGGAGAGGGTGTAGGGGGGGTGGGGTAAGGTGGGGATGGGAGGAGGAGGAGGAGGAG